CAGGGGTGTGTGCCGCCCCCATCCCAAGGCATGGCAGGACACTCTCCCACCCCCGACAGGCAGAGCCACCGTCCCACGGCACAGCAGCCCCGGCCCCCGCTCGGTGYYCGSWSCYCGGTGCTCGCAGCCCGGCGCGGCGGAGGCGAGAGGCGAGAGGCGGAGCACCGAGCCGGGGCCTCCCTCAGCTCCCCCTCCGAGCCGAGCCGAGCCGTGCCATGGGAGCCGCCTCTCCCCCGCCCCGCGCAGCCATGCTGGGCTCCGAGAGCGGCCGCGATGATGTGCTCCGGTTCTCTCCGCAGAGCCCCGGGCCCCCGGCGGCGCCGCGGCGGCAGAGCAAGGAGAGCAGCCTGACGGTGAGTGAGGCACCGGGCCGGGGGGAGCCGCGGGGCTTTCGTGTGGGCACCCGCGCTGTGGGGCCGGGGGGGGGCGGGCGGCCACAGCATCCTCGACACGCGGCATTTTGGGCTTTAAACACTGGTAAACCCAGGCAGGCTTTGGGATCTCTGCCCTGGGCGCGTTTTTCCGTCGAATATGGTGGTGCTRGGAAGAGCAGCAGGGAACGCGGTGCCTTAGAGGTGCCTCAGACTGAACCAGGTGTCCTGAAAAAACTTCATCTAATCATCTCCCCCCCGCTCCAGTGAAGCCTCTGTATTGGGAGAAGTACTGAAGAATTGCAGAAAGACAGCAGAGCTGGATCATTGCTCTACAGGGCAGGATCTTTTTTTTTTTTTTTGTTTTTTCTCGATCTGCATTTTTTTTTTCTCAAGGAGGTGTCAAGAGGGCTTCTTGTGCCAGAGGTCCAAGGGAAGATTTCTGATGGAAAGTACAGGAGAAGGCTTTTTGTTTGTTTTTTTTTTTTATTTCAGTGTGAAATTAATCTTACATTTACTTTTAGTCTTTATAATTAAGTATAACTGATTCAACAAAGAGACTGTTCAACAGAACGTGTAGTGACAGGACAAGAGACAGTGGTTTTAAATTGAAAGAAAGGAGATTTCATGTTAGATATTAGGAAGAAATTCTTGCYTGTGGTGGTGGTGAGGCCTGGCASAGGGTGCCCAGAGAAGCTGTGGCTGCCCCATCCTGGAAGTGTCCAAGGCTGGGTTGGACAGGGCTTGGAGCAACTTGGTCTAGTGGCCACTCTCATCCMCCTGATGTCYKTCCCCATGGCAAGGTGRGTGGAACAAGATGGACTTTAAGGTCCCTTCTAAMCCAAACCATTCTAAGATTCTGTGTTACAAATGAAAATGTTSTCAGTTGTATGATGCACCTCAGTTTACAGACACTGCTATCTTCTGTGTGCTTGGTGACCTCATCTGGARCACAATTAGCACTCATTGGCTCTCCAGTGCAGGACAGATGATTAAAAACAGAAAGGAAATCAAAATGGGTGGATGAGAATGGCCAGTAATAGAAAGTTTTATTTAAGTGGAAATTAGAAAAAACAAGCGGATAAATTAATTTTAGCAATAAAGGAGAGGCAATAACCATGCTTGCAGCTGCAAGTATTGGCAGGATATCAAGTCCCTGAGAACAAAAAGAATAATTTAAAATTGTACTTCCTTGTTAATGTTAGTACGAGGGGGAGATTGTTGTCTGCATTGTCACATGCAGACTGCAGATTTATTCATTAGTGGGCTGGGTTGCTGGTGACAAGAGACCAKGGTTCATAAGGAGCAAGTATAGGTGTCTCTGACTGTATTGTGGGTCAGTCATTGCCACTCAGGTACAGTGTTGTGGGGYGGGAGGGGGAAATCTTGAACAGTTTTTGAAAAAAAAAATCAGTGATTTTAATATTGGTTATTAAAATTAGTTGTTGTCAATGTTAGTACTGTTAATTGGTATATTGAGAGTGTGGTATGCTTTGAAGTAAGTATAAATCTGTATGTTTGGACATTTTTGCAGATGTCTAGAGGAATCAGTTGTTCCAGGGCTGTGTTGGCTGGAGTGGCAGACATGTCCCAGCCCCTGAATGCCACCTGTGCCTAGTCAGATCGGGGCATTGAAGTAAATCATGGGTTTAACCCGTGCCCAGAGGGACTAGACATGGTCACAGGCTGGATTGCACTGGGCTGCATTGCATAGCATGAGAGCAAGAGTGCTTGTTTTTCTGCAATCCCTGCTGCTTATAGGACTCAGGCTGTTCTCTGAGGGTTGTTTTCCATATTTGCTGGCCCATGTGCAATCAGGTAACGTCTGCAGAGCAAGAAATTGTGTGTTGTGTCAGGGTCACTGGATGTGCGTTTCTCCAGCAGAAACCCAAAGCTTTCAAGTAGGATGAATCAGATAGACAAAAATAAGCTAATTTTAACAGCTGTTTGCTCCAAGCCATTGCCTCCATCGAGGCAGCATTGTGAAAAATAAATCTCATATGGAGTGTAAACTGTAAAACARTATAAGTGTTTATGCTGTGTCCTAGGAGGTTCTGTTTGCTCAGTGCCACTGAAGCTGACGTGGAGATGTTCTAGTTAGCAGAGCTRCAGGGCATGTCCCTAGCTTGCTGTCAGATGCTTTTTCTAAGTCTGTAGCTTAGAAAGCTCAGGCAGAGCCTCTTCTTGCAGAGGGGAATTTTGTGGTTTACTTTGAGGCTCTTGGTCTGGCAAACCTCCCTTCMAACTGAAATCCCATGGCACACAGGTGATGTCCAGCCTGAGCARTGGCTGCCACTGTTGCTGCGTCATTGCCTTCTGCAGAAGAGTGGGAGCATCTTCCTCAGAATGCATCTGCCTCCTCTACATCCAAATAGCATTAAGTAGCACAGYTTCTGGAAAATCTGAAGGGAGGTGAAGCTGGAGTGTTTGCCATCTCTATGCACCCAACAGAATGGTGTTTTTTCTCTGGTCAGTGAATATTATCAACATGGTCTTCCATTTTATTTGGAAAAGAAAATAGACTCCAGCTGGGTATATCACAGGCTGTTAATGAAACTGCTACTTGCACAAAATACGGAGACTCACTTAGGTAGGAGGAGTGCAGATGTGTGGTCTCTGCTGGTTTTACAGTGAGTTGCAAGGTGCACACACTATTTTGAGGCTGGATGGTTTGCTGGCTGACTTCTGGGGTCTCTGGCCGTGAGCTGGCTGTGGAAGCTGTAGGTCATTTACAAAAGGTGAGGGAGAGCTAAATGGAGAATGTACAGGGGSATATCAGCTGAGGAATAGAGCTGTCTTACTTGGAAGAGCAAGAAAGCTGCCTGACTGTGAGGTATTTTCGAGTGTGGGTTTCTTAAAAATTCTCTAGTGCCTTGTCAAAACAGTGCAGGTCTTGGAAAATGCTGGTATTTGGATTGCATGTGTTGGGCTGGTCAATGAACACGTGCTGCAGATGAGAAAATGGGCAGCCTGTGCATAGGAATTTGGGATTTTCTGCTGCTGTGCTCTGCATCTGACACAGTGTGACAAACACGGGGTTGTGATGAGCACAGGATGAGGCTGAATGTTCAGGACAGTTCTCCCCTCTACCCTGGGGCTGACTGCATACTGTCAGAAAAGCCCTGGTTTGGCAGGGGCCTAAATGATCTCTGAACCTTTCTACAGATAGACCAAGTAAAGAGGGCTCCTGAACACTTTTGGCAGAATCTTCCCTTTGAAATAGAAAGGAATCGATGGATTTGTTAACAGTGAGGACTTGAGTTGTCTGTTCTTCCCTTCCTTTGCACCATAGCTGCAATATCACCCTACCAGGGCTAAAACCCCATGCAAATTCATGGTGTTGAAGCTAGCCAGACATAGCCCAGGCATTTCTGGGCTTCCCTGTCTGGGAGGAGTTCAAGCTGCTCAAGCCTGTASCTGTGCCCAAGGCTCTTCTGAGATCTCCAGCCTTTGCATTTGGCTGTTTTGCCCAAAATATTCCATTTGCCATATGAACTCATTTAATGGAGCTGRATGTTGTACTTTTGGGGTCTCAGCTGAAACTGTAAAGAAGACAMTAAAGTGAGACAATGTGGCACATCTGTGCTACCTTTAAGGTGCTGTGAATGCGTAGAAATAAAAAAAAATGTACATTTTTAAGCTGGAGAAATAAACAAATATGTTGCCCTACTTTAGTCACTTTAGCATGGCACGGTAAGTTCGCCCGCTCTCTGCTCATTTATTTATGTTGTGTCTGATRTAATAAACATGTAGTTGATTATCTRAGCTTTGATCAAATTAKTTTTGCTTTATTCATGTTGCTTGGCAGTGTCTCATTTACTRGTGAGTGGTGGCAGTGACTTCAAAGCCTCWAGAGACTCTGAAATCAGGAGATTAATGTGCATGTCCAACCCAACAAAGTTTGTTGCTCCTGTGCAAATCCTGTSCATTCACCTGGCTCCCTGGGTTTTTTCCTCTTCTGTCATGCTCTTGTGTCTCAGACATAATGGAGAGTCACCTACAATAAAAACAACTCATTTTGCCATGACTGCCAATGTACTCATGGGAAATAGRAGCTGAAATATTGAGCTGTTAAGAGAATAATTGCATTTGCCTATGATCAGTACAAAGGCAAAAGTATTTTAATCCATTGAATTTGGCACATAGGTTCTCAAGAGAAGTGCATCAAATTTGTGCTGCTTTTCTGATCCTCTGAGTGTGTGTCCTCTGCCAAGCTTTTTTGTCAGCACATTCTTTTCCTTCTCTGTCCTCTGTGATCTCAGACAGGTTTTCCGATGCCACTCRTGACCAGTGGCAGCTGGAAAGACAAGCTGCTGTCCTCTGGCAGGTTTGCTCAGTTCTTTCTTGGGATTTTGCCCTGCTAGTGTCTTGTGATTAATTTTGCTTTGTTGCAAGGTGACAACAGYCATTATTTTACAAAGAGGCTGTATAAGAATTTAATATCATGTTGAGGCTCATTATCACCTCAGCTCTCTCAGTGGAGCTTGTGAGCTTATAACACCTTGTTTTCAAACTTGTTAACAACACCTTGTTTTCTCTTCCTGTTCTGTGATTCCGTCATTATCTGAGAGATGTGTTTTAATTTATTTCTTACTGGCAATTGCAGCTGTAATAGGTCAGCTTCTGCAACCTTTTGTTAGGCCTTGCTGGCAAGGCAGTATTGTTAAGATATTCTGCCACAGATTTGATTTTGGACCTTGCATGGAGCCTAGCCAGCTCTCAGGGATGTGAGCAGTCAAAGCGTGGTCTCTCARAATTAGTAAGGGCAGTGGTTCTTTGCATGGAAGATGTGTCATTATCCATGGGACTGATCAGGCTGTTTAGTGCTGTCAGACATCAGGACATCATCACGAGATGCTTTGGCTGTCTTTACTGTCAGTCAAACAGCTCATCAGCRGGACTAAGCTGGTGAAGCAGAATGCTTTTTTTCAGCTAACTTTGCTTTTAGAAGCAAAAAAGGAGCATTTCAGAGGGAGGATTGGGAGGGGGGAATGCCATGCTGTCACACCACTGCTGCTCAGTGCCAGCCTGGTGTTCCCCTCCTGCTGGGAAATCCTGAGTCGTTTCTGGAAGAGTAGGAAATAGAAATCCAAGAGTTCTTGTGTAAGTATAAGAAATCTGTGGTAATGAAAAAAAAAAAAAGATCACAAGATCCCCTATGTAGTCATATATGATTTTTTTGTAATATTTCTAGAGTTTTGAAAATTTTCCTGTGCCCCCCTGGGACTTAGTGTAAAAGTTCTGTTTAATGAATTCTGTTAAATTCTGTTTATCATAATCTTTTTTTTTTCTTTTAAGATTGCTAAAGCTTCTGCATTTTAGTTTTCTTAATTCTGGCACAAATTCCCTTTTTAAAGGGATACTGGACCCAAATGGCCTCATGACTCTTTCCAGACAATTCAGCATCATTTCCAGGCAATTCAATCTTCTGAGAATTGAAGAATATTTGATTCATTCCTAAAACTTTGAGTCTGATAATACACTTGAGAAACACAGGGATTAACCCTACTCTCACCACCTGTTGATGTGCATACTTACTGTTCCTCTTCCTGCTGCATTCCTGGAGTTCTGTACATTGCAGTGGGTMACTGTTACCAGTCCTAGCCTAGCATTTCCAGAAATACTGTGTTATTGCTTCAGGACACTGAGACTCACTGTTGCATCTCTAATCAACAGCTTTCAGCCCATACATATTTCATTTTTGTGAAACAGGCACTGCCTTTAGCAGGGGATCAGAATTTCCCATGCTGTTTCTCTTTGCAGAGAAACTAAGGGCAAGTGTATGCGCCCCCTACTGCATCTCAGCTCCCTGTCATGGTGCTCAGTGCCATGATGCAGTGATGCAACTCAAGATAYTCTATGTTTCTATGATTCTGTGATGCCCCAGTCTTCTGTTACAGGCTGCTAAATACACAGGAGGTACAGTTGGTTAGTGTGGTGCTGATAACACCAAGATCTTGGGTTCMRTTTTTGTATAGGCAATTCACTTAAYTGTTGGACTTGAYCCTTCTGGGTCCCTTCCAACTCACATTGTTCTGTGATTCTGCTTTTTTCTCCCTTCTCATTATCCAGTGTGACAACATTGGGCCCTACAAATCTGCCTTGAAAACACTGCTGTCTTCATGGGATGCATTTGGTTCTTTCCCAGTTGAAATAATGTCAGTTTGGACAATGCAGAACTCCACTCAGCAGTGTGTTTCCACAGGGGACATCCCAGCTATTCACTGAAAGACTGCCAGTCTGGGGATAGGTGGAAGCCAGAATAGCTTCTTCTTTCACCAGTGCTCTATTGGTTCTTCTGAGGAGGTGGGAATCATTTCCAGCATCCTGAATCTTCTGTGCAGTCTCCTTAAATMTTTTACCTTGTGCTGCTGTCTGTTTTTAATTTGAGCTAAATTCTGAGTTCCTGTAGCTTGTCCATCTGCACTGGTTAGGCAGCACCTTGTCCTGGATACCTGTGAGTTGTATTGTGTAAGCACACAGGGTAGCTGTKCTCAGGGCTGCGTTTCATGCAGGCTGCCATGCAGGAGGGGGTTTTGGAGGGACTGAAAGAGCCAGCATGCAAGTGCTGTGAGACCATAACCCACATTTTTACTCAGYGTGAAATACAGCATCAAAGTCAGAAATGTCTTAACATCAGTTATTTCTGACAATACTTTGTTTCSTGCATCTCTCCTGCTCCTGGAAGCTGAGCTGCAACATTGCTCACTAACATGAAACAGTTGGCCTGCTGTGATAGGTGACAGTGCAGAGATTCTGGAGTCCACTTCATTTTTTAAAGKCAAAACTACAATATATTGTGTTATTTGAGAACTGGTGTGTGGCTGTGACAGCACAGAGGCATTGCCTGGTACCAGTGAAGCCTGTGCTCAGCAGTGGCATGAGATTTCATAGGATTGTAGAAAGATTCACAGAAAGGTTTAAGTTGGAAGGGACYTTAAAGATTGTCTCGCTCCACCCCTCTGCCATGAGCAGGGACACCACCCACTAGACCAGGTTGCTTCAAGCTCCATCCAGCCTGGCCTTGGATACTTCCAAGGGATGGGGCAGCCACAGCTTCTCTGGTTCTGGTGATGTGTGAAGTGAAGTGAAGTGAATCTGTCAGCCCGGGTACACCAGCCTAGCACTGGTCCAGAGCAGCATTTGTCAGGCACTGCCTGAAAGGAGCAGTTTGGCAAAGATTTCCAGACAATATTTTTAAGACATTTGGGCTGATCAGTTTGAAGCTTCCTGAGAGGGGAGAGAGGACACCTAACAGRGTGTTGAGCCAGTGCACACTGGCTCATGCTGGAGCTTTGCAGTGCCCACAGGCAGCTCTGCACCTCGCTGTTTACACCAACTGCTCCCAGGGGACTGGTGCCAGCTCCTCTCCTGGGGTGGGCTGCTTCCAGCAGGTGATGGGATCTGCTCACAGGCTTTAACATCTGGTGATCCCTGAATGGAGAAGGGATGGTAACCCGAGCTATCTTACAAAAAAAAAATAGGGTAAGATGGGCTTGCAGGTGTCCTGAGATAACTCTCAGTTATCCTGAGATATGTTTGCTGKCAGGGAAGGGGCAGGAAGAAAACTTCAGCAGAGATAGAAGGTGTGAAACGTCCCTCAGTGAAGYGTCTCTCATGGCGGCTGTGGTGGTGACAGAAGTCAGCCTAGGATAGCACAGGGGTGCATTGCAGCAGCATATGACTACACTGTTATGCACCCTGGCATGTGTCCTGACACTGCAGGGATGCAGGTGCACAGTGACAAGGAGCATGGCCATCCTGCTCTGAACTGAGCTGATGTTCTGTAACTCCTGGTGACTCTTGTGATGGGGAGCACAAGGGAACAGGGAAGGTGTTTGCAGTGCTGTCTGTGGTTGGGACCCTGTGGCCAGTGGAGGCTGGCACTGTCTGGACATGCTGCATCTGGTTGGAGGTGCTGACTCTGACTGGACATTCTGGCTCTGGCTGGAGAGGCTGGAGTTGCAGGGTCACCAGTGCATGGCCACTGCCTGCAAAGCCCTGATCTCTGACCTGCAGATCGGTTTGAAGCCTGATGGGAGCTGGAAAGCAAGGCACATGATTTAGGATTTAACTGAGGTGACAGCCAAGCACACCATAAGTACAGGGTCCTCAGGCTGCTTTGACATGGACTTGGCAAGCTCTGTAGCAATCTCTTGCACTACTTGTAGGACAGCTGCTAAACCTCCAGCCTGGGCAGACAGCAGCAGAACCAGTGTGGGTTTGTAGGARCAGCCTTGTATCAGCTAAAGGTTTTGTCTGCTTTGCTCTGGCATAATGGGTTTGCACTGTGTCAGCCTCAGCATCCTTTGTGATCCTCTCTGAATAGCCCAGAGGCAGATTCACTGTGTGTAAGCATTGCCTTTGGSTCTGCCCAGGCAGCTCTGCTAACTCTATCCACAGTTTGTGTATGGATTTCCTGTGAGCATTAACTGATCCAAAACAAACCCCCACCCCCATACAGTTATATCTGTGAGTCTCCCATCCCCAATATCTCTTGATCCCTTGATTGATACCCAAGTGCTCTTAGTGTTCCCATGACACTGTGGGTGCATTGAGAGGGACTGATTGTAGGGTACCTGCCCAGCAGAGATTTGGGGTGAGCATTACAAATTGTCAATGAGCTCTGACTCTTGTTGATGCTTCCTCTGAAAGGGTTGGCTGTTCTGAGTTGTTCTGCAGCATGTTCTGCRGTAGCTCATTGCCTTCACTGTGCTATTATCAGGCTGTATGTTCCACTGCAATAGCTTACTGAGCACCTGGACATTTTTATATTGTTATTTGAGGACCCTGTGATAAGTCCTGTCTCACTGAGTGCTGTGGTTTCGCTACATTGAAGCTCCACTGACTTCAGAGAGCCCCTGCTCCTTTTGCAGAGAGCATCACTTCCATCTGAAAACATCTTTGAGATAGATTGAAGGGATGTGCACTGAAAAAGCAGTATTTTTTTGTAATCCCGTAGGAGACTGGCATAGCCAAGGGTGTTTCGCACCAATAGTGCCTGCAGTGCTCTCTGATGCTCTGTGTGTTTCTGTGCTGAGGGTGTGCTCAGGGTSTTTCACATCAGGTTTTTTACCACAGTTTTTAGAGATCTGGAAGAACTCCCTGCGTGGTACTTTCCAAATCCGGTAGGTTTTCCTTATGTGAAATGGGTAGTTTAATTTCCCTGTGAGCTGACACTCGTGCTTGCATAGAGTAGCTTTCTGGAAATACTTAGCTGCTGTTTCCATGCAACAACCAATTTTTCATCAGTGGCATGCATTCACTGAGGATTCTCTGATAGGAAGCATGTGAATATAACATTTGATTTACTTATTTCTCATAAACAGCTAAATTTCATTACAGTATAACTCTTCTTTTTTTGCTTTCCTTTTAACAGATCAACTGTGTGACTTTCCCCCACCCTGACGTAATGCCAGAGCAGCAGTTGCTGAAACCTTCAGAGTGGAGCTACTGTGATTATTTCTGGGTAAGTAGGCAGCCAGCCACATGCCACACGCAGCTCCAGAGCTTCCAAGAAAGTGGAATAAACAGCTTGATTTGTGGTACAAAATACAGGAGAATTTGGGCTGAGGTACAATGTGTTCAGGCAGTACCGTGGAGACTGGGGATGCTAGTGAAGATCTCCTGGAAACATCTGACCAGTCTGAGATGTGGCTGATCTCAGAGGAGTGTCCAGAAAGGCAAGGACAGTTCTCAGGAGATGAATTTGRTCAGGAAATACGGAGGATGTAGGACAAGCCACATATCGCCAAAGACCACAGAACAGTGTGCAGCAGGAGGGGGATAGAATCACAGCACCCCAGACTGTTTTGGGTTGGAAGGGACATTAAAGCCCATCCCATTCCACCCCTTGCCATGGGCAGGGACACCTTCCAATATCCCAGGTTGCTCCAAGCCCCATCCAACCTGGTCTTGAACACTTCCAGGCATGGGGCAGCCACAGCTTTTCTGGGCAGCCTGTTCCAGGGCCTCACCACCCTCACAGGGAGCAATTTCTTCCCAATATCCCATCTATCCCTRCCCTCTGGCAGTGGGGAGCCAYTGCCCTTTGTCCTGTCTCTCCAGGCCTTTGTCCCAAGTCCCTTTCCATCTCTCCTGGAGSCCCTTTAGACAYTAGAAGGAGCTCTAAGGTCTCTCCAGAGCCTTCTCKTCTCCAGGCTGAACAKCCCCAACTTTCTCAGCCTATCTCCATAACAGATGTGTTCCAGCTTAGTGGCCTTCTCTGGACTCCTACAGATCCACAGGTCCATAGGATAGCAAGGTGGCTGATGGGGAATATTATTTCAGTGTTTCCCAGAGCACGRGTGCCAGGGATGTACAAAGAAGCTGGGGATGCCCCTTCTAAAACAAGCAGATAGATAAAAATGTTTTGTTAAATTGCAAAATTCTTTCCACAGGATATTCCAGAGGTCAGATAATGCATTTTCTGTAGGRTGAGGTTTGTGAAGGACAGGCCCACTTGCAACTTGAGTTTTAGTGCATCAGAAGTCTTCAGTGGCTGGTTCTGTGTGTGCCCGCTTGTGCTCAGGTCTATTTTCAGGTTCCTCAATCACATTAAAATGATGCAATAGTCCTTGGAGTGTGGAGCTGATAGAAAAAGGTCTTCCAATGGAAAACTTCTCTTCTACTGGAAGATTTTTCTGGGCAATGAAAGGAATACTACAATGGAATCAATATGTACTACAAAAGAAATCAACAATAAAAGATTTTAGGAATCTAGTGTGTTTTCATTTACTAGTTATTGAAGTGTTTCTATTTAAAAAAAAAAAWTRTCAGTGTTGGAGACCCAGCAGCATGTCCCTTTGTGCTTGCTCAGYGCTGATGGCAGGGACTTGCTAAAATACACTGACATATTTTATTATGGTCATGTTATCATAAATTTTCTTCTGTTTCTTCCAGTCTTCTGATTCCATTGAGCCCTAAATCATTCTTGATGTACAGATTGATTTTTTTGCATGTCATAGAGAAGTTCCTGCCCTGTTTGGTTCTACCTGTTCATGCTCAGCCACTGCTTAATTCTGTGGGTTGGTCACCTCTTGCTTTCAGTGAAGCTCTACTTAAAGCTACCTTTCTTCTGCAGACTTTTATCTTCCCATAACTCTGCTTGCAGACATTTTCTCTTTGGCCTTGTCATCCATGGTCTGCCCACAGCTYGCTCTCCTTCCTCCATCCTCTCCACTTCTCCCACTATCTCAGCTGGCTGGTGCCTGGTAGGGCATCCTGCCAGTCTCCTGCTTTGATTAATCTGGCATTTTTCTCTGGCTAGTTGTGCAGCATGCGGGGGATCAGAGCAAAATCTGCAGTGCTTAGGGAAATGTTCTCTGAGAATTTGTTTGTTGGAAGAAGGTAAGAAACTAAATCGGGAAGCAGAGATGCAAGAAAAGAGGCAGCAGAGAGAAAGCTCTGTTGGTCCTTGTGGCAACACTGAGGTCAGTGGAGCTGTGTAAGAAAAAAGCAATGAAAAATGGGCTGTGTTGTGGTAATCTATGGGACAAGTTGCTGTTTACCTTGTTTTACAGCAGAACCGTGCAGACTGGCTGAGTATTTCTTAGTACAAATCAGTGTTGAACTCGGTAGTCTACTAAAGGCCTTTAAGGGCTGTGTTCCCCCTGGAAGGAGTGGCACTGTCCTCCCCTCTGCCCCAGGAGTTCCCTTGWGCTGGCTCCAGGATTCCTTCTTTTGGCAGGCTGAGCCCTTGGGGCTGACACTTACCCAGTGACATTATCAGCTGTGAGGGTCATGGGCAGAAATGACAGCAGTGCTGCTGCTTTGGCCTCTACATCATCTTATGCTAGCTAAAGACAATGGTAAAGCTTCCCTTTTTAAATTAAAAAAAAAAAGGGGGAGTAGGATAAGCAGGAGAGTGTTAGGCTATTTCTTTGAGAGGGGCTGAAGTGCTCTAGCCATCAGCTCATCTCAGAGGAGGGTTCCTCAAGCACCACTGTGGGGCAGCTGCTTCTGGAAATCATATCTCTCTGGGTTTGGCCTCCATAGCTTTTTGTTTAACTTCCTTTTATTTCTTTCAGGCAGATAAGAAGGACTCACAAGGGAACAATACAGTRTCGGGATTTGAAATTCTTCTTCAGAAGCAACTTAAAGGGAAACAAATGCAGAAAGAAATGGCAGAGTTTGTGCGAGAAAGGTAACTARCACTTTGTTATCAAATTAAATATTTTTTTCAATTATTTTTTCCYAGTTTAGATATTCCTTAAATACATTAATGCTTAATGTTTAAACTTCATAAAAGGTATGCTACAAATTCTTAATGAACATTTAATATTTCTTTAATTTTCATCCACACTCTCTAGTCTTCWCTGGCTCTCACTTGTCTCTCATGCACTGAGTTGTATTGCATAAAGACTGTCTGTTTAGAGGGAGCCGAGAAAGTTTTAAGATGCAGATTCAAGGAAAAAGCATGAACAGGAGAAAAGCAGAGTGGAGATGATATATAGAAGAGAAGTATTTTGTCTGAAAAACACAGAAGCAATTTGTTCACATGGAGCATAGGCACAGTTTCCTAGAAGAAGGTGTAAAAAGRCATCACTTTGGATTTAAGCTTGGTTATAGAGTCACAGGATGGTTTGGGATGGAAGGGACATTAAAGATCATCCCATTCCAGCCCCTTGCCATCTAGGTGTCTAGGCTAGGGACACCTTCCACTTGATCAGGTTGTTCCAAACCCCATCCAACCTGGCCTTGAACACTTCCAGGGATGGGGCATCCGCAGCTTCTCTGAGCAACATGAGCCAGGGCCTCCCCACCCTCACAGGGAGCAATTTCTTCCCAATATTCCATCTATCCCTGCCCTCTGGCAGTGGGAAGCCATTCTTCCTTGTCCTCTCCCTTCAGGCTTTTGTCCCAAGTACCACTCGAGCTCTCCTGGAGCCCCTTTAGGCATTGGAAGGAGCTCTAAGGTCTCCTGAGAGCCTTCCTTTTTCCAGTTTTCTTAGCCTGTCTCCAGAGCAGAGGGCTCCGGCTCTGTGATCMAMTTAGTGGCATTGTCTGCACTTKCTCCMSCAGATCYACACACACAGAYGTTTAGAGTGAACCCACAGTCATARAGGCAGATGCTGCTACCAAAAGATGACTGTTAATGGGCTGTTGCTCTGCTGATATGGGAAGCAGACTGAGCACCAAACAAGCATTTGGTCAATTCTCAGTCCAGACACATACAGCAGGTGATACAACATCATTACTCACAAATGTCATCACTATTACTTGAAATTGTTTGTCATATGTCCAAACCACTGTAAGTCATCTTGAAGGTGACTCTCAAAACCTGAGAACAGCCTACAGGGAACAGTATTTGCAACCTGGAGGAAGGATGCTGATGGGTGTTCTCTTCTGGAGACAGCTGCACCAGTAGAAGGAGCTGCTGTCCTCTTTTTTGTCTCTCTGTTGATGTTTGGTGCYGAGTTGTTGCTTTCTCACTCTTCTGCTGCAGACTTGACATGACTGTGCTGATTAATCAACACTGGTGCTAGAACRGAGCTGGGCCACAAGAAGGCCCATRTTGGTGTTTGGAGTGCAGTTCAGTTGGACAGAACTCACACATATATTACATATGTATATACAGGCCTTCATTTGTAGTTCATTTTCTTTCTCCCTCTCATCTTTTTTTTTTCATACTAGGATATGGCAGAAGTGGGAAAATGCAAAGTATCACAGGCAATAACAGTGGTCAGATACAGGGCCCAGCATTCACATGTGTTTTCTGTAGCCTGTGACATAAGACAGTCCAAGGGACAGTTACAGTGTGACTGGAGGTAGAAAAAAGAACCACCTGGCACAATAAAAATACAATTGAGAAATAGGCTTGCTAAGGGAGAGGATGAAAGTCAAGCAGAATTATGATAGCTGTGGCCAGGGATCAGAGAGGGAAGCTGTATCAAAGAAGTAATATATAATGAAATTAGACAGAAATAAAAGCAAGATGCATTCAAGAGGAATGGAAAGTTGGTGTGAAATTAGAGCAAGCAAGGAAAGCATCTCTGACACTGCAGAGAGGCATGTCTGTGTCCTCAGCAGAGAAAAAAGCAGGCATGTTAGAGAGGAAAGACAGAAAAGATTTACTGTGTGCTGGAAACAAAAAAGGTTGGCAGTTGAGTGTGAMGAGGGTCTAAATGGAAGTTACAGAAAGATGAATTCATTTTTCATTTATGTGTAACAAAGGATCAGGATTGTTTTGTGTGGAAAAGGAGGAGGGTGGTGTTGAGACGGAGAGGTTATTCATGGAAATAGAGCTCAGGCCATCAGAGGAACCTCTACATTACCAGCTAAGAGGGTGGAAGTATTGATAAGGTTTTCATGATGATCATCAGGTGCCTTGAGGAACACAAGACAATGTTTGACTAGGAATTTTCATGTCCAGAAAAATTCTCTTTGTCTGTACAATCAGCCTGCTAGAGGTGACATTCAGGCAGCTAATAAAAAAAAGTCCTTCAACAGGAAGCTGGTATAAGACAAAATAACCAGATTTCTTCATCAAATATCCAACAAGARGGAAGCTAACTGAAATTTAGTTTATCAAGTAGATGCTTTTACGGGGGCTTCTTGTACATAGCAATCTCAGACTGAGCAGTTATGTGTTCATTCAGTTCTTCACAGAGGTAGGGTTATAAAAGTCAAAYAGTCACAGACTTTGACTGTTAATAAGACAGACCTCAAGAAAGGGAGGAAAGTAATTAATAAATAAACTGAACTGAAAAATCAASGGTGTTGGTGTGAAAGAAGGAATTACTTTAAATCAAAAGTGAAAATAAGTTCCAGCATTTGCATTCAAGTAAGACTCCAGCCCAAAAAGTCTGCAGACTACCCCGAGAAGCACCAGGTGTAAAAAGTTTCATTAGCAAAGGAATACTATCTTACTCACTTTTTAAATAAACTCCGCTATGTTTAGAAAATGTAAATTAAATGGTAGATTGTTCAGCTTCTGCCACGTTCAGCAGATGCATGTATGCACCTTTCACTGTTTGTCTGCAACAATTTGTGGAATACTTCTGCAGTCTCTGTACTACAGGCAAAGTAATTATGCTTCTGTTTTCTGATCATTTCATTGCTCTCTCCTAATCGGGAGAAACAGTGTAAAGACTCATGGTCACAGTCTTCCCACAATGACAGTTGTGTAGGTACTGTCAGATATCCTCTACCACCTTTTCTGCCTGTTCCCCCTGTTGTCTTAATCTATTTAGTTTCTTCTTGCACAGCTGTCACATCAGATCGTCTTTACCTCCCTCTGTAATTCTCTGGTTTTTCTTCATCCACTATAATATGTCATGACTGAAATTATTTGAGTGTGTACACACAAAGTACTTAAAAAAAAACAAAGTAAAAAAGAACAGGAAATAAACATACAAAGATCAGTTAGAACTAATAAAGTCAGAACAGCACAGGTCAAAATGCACTAACAATCTGTAGTGCTTCTGACTATACAGGAAGTGAAATTCTGAAAGTTTTCAAACAAGTTAGTGGAAACAAGAGCTTGAAGCTTTTTTTGTTAGGAAGGTGGAGTTACTGCCAAAAAGCCACATGGATTTCTGGAGATGGACTCAGCACTCAGGAGTTCTGGCATGTTTGTGTTTCAGTCATCACAATCCAGAGTTTGCAGTGTGTTTATAACAGGCAGGGCCAAGAGGCAGATTTTTTCCCCTCTTTGAGGTTTATCTTGGGTTTTAGCCCCTTTTGGCCACAGATGGTGACAGGAAGCTAGGCTGGGGTAATTTATTTCTTGTGTTTGGGGCTCTTCAGCTATAGACACTTCATCTTTTTATTTTTATTTGTTATTGATATTCCTCCTTGCCAGGCATGTGCCCTTTTAGTAGTGCCTTCCATTTGCAGTACAAGTAACACTGGAAATCRCTGAAAAAATCTTGGAGCCTAGGCCAAGGCTGGAACGGGTGAGGAGCTCTTCCATCAAAACCAGTGGCTTTGCTTGCCTGGTTCCACATTTAGGACAGGCACTGATGGCACCATACTGTGGCATGTCTTACATGTGAAATCATGAGAATCCTAGAATTACAGAATGGTTTGGGTTGGAAAGGGCCTTAAGCTCATCCAGTTTCACCCCTCCCAGTGCCATGGGCAGGAACACCTTCTGTTATGCTTTGTTGCTTCAAGCCCTGTCCAAACTGGCCTTGAACACTTCAGGCATGGGGCAGCCACAGCTTCCCAGGGCACCCTGTGCCAGGGCCTCACCACCCTCATAGGCAAGAATTTCTTCCTAACACCTAATCTAAACCTACTGTCTTTCCTTTCGAAGACATGAGGCTTGCTTCTGTCTTACTGCATTCAGTAATTCCCCAGCTTCAGTAATATCGAGCAATATCGAGGAAGAATGTGACAGGGTTTTAAAATTTGTATTTTCACGGCAAACCTTTTTGATGGAAGATGGTCAGTTAGTCCTCTGTTCATGAGACAAAGGACTGAGTCACAGGTTCTGTGAGGGTCTGCATGGGCAGCTCAKAAAAATCATCCGACTGTTGCACTTTGAACATCTAGCATTCATGGAAAATTACTCAAAGACATCCTTAAGCCAAAATTGAGCTGAAATTAAGTTCACARTGAAGGCTGTACACTAGAGCTTTGGCTGGGGACTCCTGGTAACTGAGCCAAAAGCAGTGAGTCTTGGGTCTGGGGAGACATTTTCGGCCTTTATTATTGTTGACCTGTTCTCTTTCCAGTCCACAGAAATTGTCACTTCTGAGATAAGATTAGTCTCATCCTGAAGTAGGTGTTTAAATTATGTTAGGTGAAATGTGCCTGGATAAAACCCTTTTCATAGTAAGGTCCTAATCCAGTGTAGCCTTCGATGCTGCACTGCTGTGTTTGTTGGTCTTGTTAGAGCAGGCATGGGGAGCTGGCTGGTTTTGTCCTCACGGGAAGGGGAAGAAGAGGATCCTCCAGTTCCTGGGTAAGATTTGTACTACAGTGTCATAYCAAGCTGGGTGTCATCTTGGGCTTCAGCCTGCTGCATCCCATTCAATTGCTGGAAGTGACATCCCAATCAATTGCTTTGCTGTGGAGCTATCAGCTGTGGGATATGGGCACTCTTTCTCCTTAACTCCTGAGAGCATAACGACAAAGTGGCACTTCTCCYGCACCATTTACCGGGATATTTTCAGCAGCCCAGAACATCAGATCCTTCTTAGCTMTCTTAGGGGACCTCTCTTAGCTCAAATGTGCCCTGCAAAAGTGTGATTACTCAACTAGCTACTGCAAATGGGCATGCCAAAAATATCCTACCTTCTGACATCTTTGTGGAGGGACATTTCAAGGCAGTAGTATTACCCCTGCTTTGTCACAGTAGAGARGGACAACGGGACACAAGTAATGAGCAAAGATCTCCTTTATTATTGGGCTGAGCCCCTTTTATCTATTTAGTAACAGCGTATAAACAGCAGTTATCTATTGGTTAATTAGCAGTTCGTTCTCCACTTATTAGCATAGGATTGCTGTATTATAGTAGTTGTAACTGTTAGCTTTGCAGCTTTTTTTACTTTGTCTTTGGTATCCAATTCATCTGGTTTTGTTTCTTTTCAACATTCTTTCTTCCTTTTATCACAGTCAGCCCAAGGCCGTTTGCTATGTTGCCTTGGTAACGTCTTCTTCTGTCCTGTAGGTCTTCACTTAAATTTTCAGACTCACTTTTGTTTTTAGCACATCTTAGGGATACAATTTTCKGCTGAAGTCTAACTTCAGARCTTGCAGGGTCASAGTGCTGGYTTTTGGCCTCCACGCTGCTTGTACATGGTTGGCACAGAATCAGGAGTTGTTCTACCTGGGAGCCACACAGCTCTCTCAGAAACGCTCTGTTGAGCAAGCTGGGTTGAAGACCAGTGAACAGACAACTGTTTGCTCTGCCTGAGAGCAAGTGTACCTTGTTTCACTGGGAGAAGAGCTCAGGGAAGAGGGWGATGAATTTCAGGCATGATGCCCAACACCTCTGGAGCAGTAGCTGCTCACTCCTCCCTGCTGGGCTGTCAGCACATACCCTTGTCCCCTCACCCCATAGCTGCACTCCTTCATCTCCCTGCAGTCATTCCCACAGTAGTTGTGCCAGCAGCTTTCCACTTCTATGCCCTTGCCACTGGCAAACTCAGCTCCTGKTTTGATGTGGTGCCTCTGAGTGGTGAAAAGAAGGGCAGGGCAATGAGTGAGATGAATGAGGGGAAGGGGTTGCATGGCCACGTGCTGCTGACAGAAGTTTCTGCCACATCTTTGCCATGCCACCTTCACTTTGCACCTGTAAAAGAGARCAGGAAGCATTTGGTGTCCCTGAGAAAGGTACAGTTCAACACCCCAAATCTAATTTGATTTTTCCTGCATCACCACATTCTTCATCTTTGCTTCAAGGATGTGTAGCCTCACATTTCACAGCAGACTGAACCACGTGCTTCTGGTTTTGCAGACAGTCCTTGCTGCACAGAAGAAACACTCTGTCCTTGTTATTTACCCTCCAGAACTGTAGCTTCTTCATCATGCTGTCTTTCATATAGCTCTGCTCTTGCCACTGCATTTTTAGCATATGGAGGGGAGAAGACAGCTCATGAAACTGGTGCTGCCATGCCATGGAGACTGAAAGGAAAATTCCTGTGGCAATTCCTGTKAAAATACAGAGAATTTCTTCAAATTATGTGTGTGGGTTTCTACATTAAAGCTTACTTACTGCTGTCTTTTTATTTTCTCTCTGTGTGTATGTGAGTGTAGGATAAAGATTGAGGAGGAGTATGCTAAGAACCTGTCCAAACTGTCTCAGAATTCCTTGGCTGCTCAGGAGGAAGGGTAAGTGTGTCTCTGTGACTTTCATAGAATACGAATTTTAGCATAAAAGACATTTCTCCCACACAGGTACATGTAATTTTCTGCAGCTCTCCTATTGAGTAGAGGTTTAGGTTAGCACCCTGGGTATGTTGGTTGGTTGGTTGGTTGGTTGGTTAGTTGGTTGGTAGGTTGGTTGTTTGGTTGGTTGGTTGGTTGGTTGGGTTTTTTTAAGTTGTTAATGAGAAATGTTTTAGGAATATGTGTATAAAATGTTGCCTTTCCAATCAGGTTTTTATGCTGTCCTTGTTGCAGCCAGGACTAGTTCCTTTCAGGATTAGCATGTGTACTAAACTACTTTAAAAATGGAAGAATGTGTAGAATGCATGTACTGGTGAGAGTACAAGTGTAGGTGAATGCCAGTATAATCAGAGCAGCACAGACAAGAGGGAGAATGAAGTGTCTTCTCACCAGGGTTCTGGCCCTTCAAGGAAAGCAGCAGATTGGCCCTTATTTACAACATTTKCACACTTTGGAAATTATTATGAAGACATTAGACAACACAATTCAGACTAAATTACAGTTCTTCAGTAATAATGAAAAGGCACCACTCCTGAAGAATCAGAACTTGGTAGCTCTGTTTCAACACAAACCCTCTAAACACTGAAAGCCAAAGTTGGAAATTACTTTTCTCACCATAGCTTTGGCACAGTGTGTTTCTGCCCGCACTGAAGTTCTGTGAGGTGTTTTGTTCAGCTTTCAGGAGGCAAAGACAGAAATTGCAAGAGGCTGACTGGGCTGTTACTGCTCTAAGCACCTGCAGTGACACTGGCTTCTGTCCTACTTTCCCCTTGATCCTAGCAAAGCTAAAACCACTTTCTTCCACATCTTCCTTCTACTTTCTCCTACCCCCAGCAGGAGAAGGAGGGAATGACTGAAAAAATGAAAGGGAAGGAAACTAGGGGAGAGTAGATGAGAGGGAATGAGCACTCAAACATAAGAAACATTGAAGTAGGGAACTGGAAAGACRTGGTGCAGAGTGCATAGATCTGAATACACTGTCCAGTGGTGCTCTGCCTGGAGGGATGGCAAGGTGAGACAGTGGAAGGAGGTTGTGCTGAAATTTCTCCTTTGAATGCTGTGGTGACCAAATTGGGTGGGACCAGGAAGAGGCTAGCGAGAAGATCRTGGGAATTGGTGAGGCCCAGCAAATGGAAAAGTTCCACTTCAAAAAAATGAGGGAGGAAGAACAGCCAATAGGAGGATTTGAAGAAGCCAAAAGTGGGACTGCAGCCTAGCACACTCTGTAAAAACATYCCACCATGACTTTCCTCTTACTCCTGAGAAGGTGTGAGTTGGGGAAACTCACTGTTCTCACTGCTCTGTGCACACTCCAGTTACCATTGCTAGTTTGGCACTTCACTGGCCATTTTCTGGCTTTGCTGTCCAGCAGTCTGTGGAATTGACACAAAATATGGGCTGCCCCTCCGGGGTCCTCTGCCCTCCTCTGGTGAAGAGCAGACCCACCATCATGTGTGTGAATGGGATATGGGGTGACAAGATGGGGTCCATTGGGGTGACAAGATGGGGTCCATTGGGGTGACAAGATGGGGTCCATTGTGGGTGACAAGATGGGGTCCATAGGGGGTTTCTGAGATGAGTCTGTCTGGGTTGCTGTCAGTACAGTGCTGCTGCATGTACATGAGAGGTGATACAGTCTGTGATCATTGCAGTCAGTGCAGTTGGATAGGAGATGCAGAAGATKCTCAGTATCGAAAATGCCTTCTTTGCTTAAAAAAAGCCTTCTTTGCTTAAATGATTAGTGTCTGTTGGAACTGGGCAKTGGGAGAGGGCCTCAGGGTGGGTCTAGGGAAGGAGAAATGCTGGGAGCACTTTTGGAGGTGTATCTAAGTTGTTTAGCTGATTACCACCATATCCGAGTACTCAAGTACTTGGAGCAACGTCAGAGGTGACAGGCATTAGTTTGAAATTGCAGATGACAGGCAATTTTTCAGGTTATCAGAAAGAGTCAAATCTCATWATTGTTGAAAAGGGGACAGGGAAAAGATACAAGGACCCAGGAACTGTAGACTGCTCAGTGGTCAGACCACTTACTTAACCTTTGCAAAGTGGTAGAATAAATTATGAAGCTTTCAGTTAGTGGAAAACTAAACAATTGCTGTCGATGCATACAGAACAATGCCAAGCCAACCTAAATTCCTTCAGTGATGGAGTAAGAGAGTAAGTCAAGCATCACAGCTCTTAATTTAGTGTAGCTTTTTGCAATGGGAGATTCTCATAGCAGACAAGAGAAAATGTGGCCTAAATAAAGCCTAAGTGCAAAAATAGGTAAGAAAAACCCACTACTTAGAAAAACTGTAAGTGCAGAAAGTAGCTATGGAATGAGATCCCAAAGGGCTTATCCTAAGGCCAGGGGATTTTAAAATATTTTTGTAATCAATGACCTATGATAGAAGAAATAAAGGATTTACTGTAGTCAGAGATGTGACAAAGCTAGGAAAGTTGGTATATATAATTTGAAAAAAGGTTGCAATTCAGAATTCTTGTGTTAAAATAGAGAAATTAACTGGAAAAAAATAAGATGCATTTTAATGAGGACAAAGCACCAGGTTTTATACTTTCACAAGATGTGAAAGATACAGTTACATAACAAGTTGTGGGAGAAGGATCTGGCTATAGTGAATCACAAGCTTATTCATCAGCAGCTTCATGCTGTTGTCTAAAAAAGCAATCAAATTGAAATATGTAGAAGAAAGAGTGTCTGATTCAAAATAATCTGTTACCAGTTTAGCAACTGGAAAACCTGTACTGGAGACAATGTAGTTTTGGTTATGATGCTTTACAAGGAGTGTAGGCTGTCATAGAGGGTCTGGAGGAGTTTTGCCTTAGTTGCCATTGTCTTGGAAACAATCTGTCCAAAAGAAAAAGACAATGGAGAAATTTCTAATAATGAAAAGCTTCTCAGAGACTTTTCACCTCAAGTGAAAACCTGTTCTCTAAAGAAGGGTGTAAAGTAGAAAAGGCAATGGAAAAGCTGCATTGGTGGAAACTTCATTATTGTATGGATAAGTTACTGAAGGATCTTGCTTATGGAGGTTCTGGCATCTGTGTACGTGGAGATTGTCATGAACTTTTGTTTTCAAAGACCTACTACATACAATGCCAGTACAATTCTGCCTTGGTCACAGAGGTTGGTTGTCTTCTCAGATTTCTGTTACTCTTTTCCATGAYTGTGCTTATCAAGATACACTGCAAAGTGTTGTGCCAGATTTGTCTGACAGATTCCACAAGGGAGGGTGGGCAAGAGACAGCACACTGATCTTTGTCATTCTGTTCTTCCAGCACACTGGGAGAAGCTTGGGCTCAGCTCAAGAAGAGTCTAGCTGATGAAGCAGAGGTTCATCTCAAATTTTCTTCTAAGGTAAATAACTCGTCCTCTTCCCAAGATTCTTTTCCTGAATTGGTGTGCCTCTCCCTTCAGTGCATGGTAGTGAGGGAAATACACATGCATAAGGTACACATTTAGAAGAATTAATAAGTTGGTGAGCAAACTTACTGAAACTCTGTTCAGTCTTCCTCCCAAAATGAGTTAGTTTAGGCTATCTGATGAGTAAATTAAAACCCATCTAACCTTAATTTTTGATTGGAAAAGAAGTAAAACTGATTCTAGCAGTTGTTCACCTGGGCTCTACATTCCAGCCAGTAARTTTAACTAGTGCTTGTACACTTCTTCAGAGGAAGAAATTAAAAGTAATATTTGGCTTCTCCACAAGAATCTGCTCTTCCTGTGTGGAAGGAAGAGAGCCAGGACTCGGGTTTCTCTGTATCATTACCCTTTCTGAAAAGTCTGCTGGGAACCTGATGTTATTTTTGGGTTTTCTCTCAAGGGATGCCTAAGGAGATTTCTTTTAGAAATTATAGTATTTATCTGGGTTTTTTCCACCACATGTGACATGCTCTTGAATCCTGTTACWTTATGTTAACCTCTGTGGGTGTTCAAGTTCAATACAGTGGCAGATATCTCAGCACAACAGCCATGTTCTGGAGGAAAATTATAGCTCTGCACCATTTCTAAGCARTTCTGCAGAGGTTACTCAGGCAACCAGCTGCTACCTTGGTAACCCACTGCTCTGCCTCAAACTTCGACATCAGGGCTGTAATTAATGAAATACTTTTTGCTCCCCACTGTCCTCCTGTATTGTTTTCCAAGAGGAAAAAATGCACCCTGGAATGATGTGTGCATGTAGGCAGGACAGGTAAAGGGGCTCTTCCATTATTATTATTCCATTACTTAAACTCTACACAGAAACTCCTGTTTCAGCATCCTCTAATTCCTTCCCACTGTTGGTGTGCAAAAAAACTGTGGATGTGGYACTTCAGGGGCATGATTTAGTGATGGACCTGGAAGTCCTGGCAAAATGATTTGACTTGATGATCTTGGAGGTTTTTTCCAGCCATAATGATTTTACAGTTTTATAAATGATTTATACATTTTATAAATGATGATACATTTTATAAATGTTTTTTCCAGCCATAATGATTTTACAGTTCTCATAGCTGCTTGGGAATTTCTAGTTTTGTCTTCCTTTTATTAGCATAATGTTTTTAAGAAGATAATATAATATAATGAATTACATAATTATAAATTATATAAATTTATAATTATAAGCACCAGCCTGGAAGACACTGAGCAGCCTCTGTGACAGTCCTTACAGCACTGCTGCATGGAGGGTCAGGAACAAAGCAGAGAAATGACAGTGTCCTCATGTCACCTGGAGCATAAAATACTCTTTACACTACAGCTGCCTATACAGCATGGCCTGGCAGCTGTAAGTACCAGCACATGAGGAGTCCTTCARAAAGGCTCTCATGGCATTGAGCTGCTTCAGGTCTGTATTAGCTTCCCTGGGGCCATCCTGGTGACACTGTCATAAACACATAGTCCAGAATTTTTCAGTCCAAGACTCCCAGTCAGAGCAGGACTGTCACCCACAGTGGATCAAGTCAGCTACACCTCTGCCTAGCTGAGTCTTAAATATCTCTAAGGACAGGGATTTCACAATCTCTCTGGTCGACCTTCTCCAGTGCCCAGCCACTATTCTAGTSATTCATTTTGAKTTTGGTTTTTTGAATTATATTAAACCTAAATCTCCCAGAGCTCWGTGTTCTGTTGTGACTTTGCCTGGCCCTGCAAAGAAGGATTTGGTTCTGTTACCCTTGGATCKGACCTTCRCATAGCTSTAGATTGTATTAGATCACYAAGGTRYCAATCTGCACCTGCCTAAACAGTGMTTTAGGCTTGTTTAACCTTTCTAGGATGTGTGCTCTAGAGTTTTGACTGATTTTGTAGCCTCCCTCCAATAAAACACTGTACTGAATAGTTTCCCTCTCCATTGAAATAATGCTGGGAAAAGGCTGCAAATACTTGTTTTCAGGGACTATTTTATACCGTTGGCCATGTTAACTTGTTACAGTCCCAACTCAGCTGGTGGAGTCTAGTATCCACACATGAGTAACAATAGGGAGCAGTTTCTGGGGAGGTGAAATATCTATATCCCTCCAGAGCTCATTTTCTAGGTGTCAAAACTGTGTATCAGAAGGCCAAAGAGCAGTATGATGCAAACTCCATCAGAGTCGAGTATTGGCAGCTGTCAGGATAATTCATGTGTCTGGTTTTGATGGATTTCTCCTTAGYTCATTCCAGAGGTTTCTTGTCAATTCTTAGAAGAGCTTCAGCTAAATAATCAGTTTTCTCTTTAAGCTCTCTTATACTTGACAGAAATAAATAAAATGAGGCCTTCTTGGATATCAGTTCACCGTATTAGAAAAGCAGCCATGAAACCATAGCCCACAGACAGGCATCACTGCAGTTCAGGTTAGTGGCTTTAGCTGGGTACTTTGGGGGGTTTTAAGCAAGTTACCATCAGTTAGGCCAGAACTGGAGCACTGATAATGCTCCGAATATTTCCTGTAGTATTTTACATTTTCTTTGTCAAAAGAGAGGTGACTATCAGAGTGAGGGGAAGTTTAGATTTCTGTCCATTTGCTCCCTTCAATTGATATTCCCTAGAGAGAGCTCTCCTGCAAAGGGCTGAGTTTTGTAGTGGCTTGATTCAGAGCATTCTTGGGGAAGAGAAGTCTTGCTGTCYGGCATTGCTTTGGCTGCAGTGTATGAATTGTTTCCTCTTTGTTTTGAGCTCTCCTCAGAAGAAGGAAACAGTCTCAAATTGCACCAGGGAGGTTAAGATTAGATATTTGGAAAAAAAAAAATCACAGAAAGTGTTTTAAAGCATTGCAACAGGCTGCTCAGGGCAGTGATGGAGTTACCATCCCTGAAAGTGTTCAAAAAATGTGGATATGGCACTTGAGGACATGGTTTGGTGGTGAGCATGGTGGTGAGGCTGGGTTGGCAGTTGGATTTGATGGTCTTGGAGGTCTTTTCCAGCTTAACAATTCTGTGGTTCTGTGAAGAGCCAGGAATTACTGCCTGGCTCCTTATTACTTTCATTTCTTCCTTTGTGTTCATTACCAGCTTCAGAGTGAGGTAGAGAAACCCCTGCTCAACTTCAGAGAGAACTTCAAGAAAGACATGAAGAAGTGTGACCATCACATCGCAGAYTTACGAAAGCACCTGGCCAGCCGCTACACAGCAGTGGAAAAGGTGGGAGCAGGGAACAAACTGCAGGRTTTCTGAGATAATGCTGCTTTGAGTAGAAGAGCAGCTACTCCATGAAAAGTTTCTGCTCTGCCACAGAGGACCACAGCTGTTCTTGCRTGGGGTTTTCACTGTTAGCTGTGCTTTGTCCCAGGCATAGTTTGCTTTTTATCTGACATGTGGGAAGTGGGGGCTACAGGAAGGCCAAACATCTTACTGCTGAGCAGGCTTTTTGTTTCATCCTCCCCGTCCCAGTTTGGGGCAACATATTCCTAATACATTTGATGTAGATATTTCTTATTTGTATATGTCTGTTGTCCTCAAAATTTAAAACAGCTTGCCTTAGAATGGCAACATGGTCAGGTCAAAAGCAGATGTGGCCAAAAGCAGATGGCCAAAAAGGGCAGCTCAGCCCTGGTCTGGCAAATCACAAACCCTTCATAAGAAACATCCTCACTGAAAAAAAGCAAAGCAGCAGCACCCAGTAATGGGCAGCTCAGCCCTGGTCTGGCAAATCACAAACCCTTCATAAGAAACATCCTCACTGAAAAAAAGCAAAGCAGCAGCACCCAGTAATGGGCTGATATAACGTGAACCTGGAGGTAGATGAGGTTGTGATGTAGGGAGCTAGACCTRCAAAATATGATCTCCCAGCAGCAGCAGGCAGAAACTGGGATGCTTGTGCCTCAGCTGCCAAATTGTGTTCTCATGAGGTTTGCTTTTGGATGTAAGTTGGAAAGGAAAATACCATTCTCAGTCATCCCCAAAGTTGTTTGTGCTTCCATTAAAGATTAGGAGGAGTTGGCCCAGGGACAGAATTGTTTCAGGATACACAAGGCCGTTAGGCTGTGTATATGCAAGGAAGGCATTTTTCTGCAAAACAGTAAGTTCTCCACACTCATATCTGCAAAGAATAGCCCTCATATCTGCAAAGTATCAATACTGGGAAGAGTGAATTAGGAATAACCTTGAGAAGAAGGAATTACAGCAAGGAAGAGCCATGACTGCAGTGTCTTTGAAGCACTCTGCCCCTCATGGGTTGCTGTCCTGCAGCTCCCTCTCAAGACCTGCAGGACCCAGCCTGGGCCTCAGAACTGCAAATGGAAAATATTCCAGGAATGCTTCAAGAGTGTTGTGCCATTTAGGCTGGTGTGACTRTAGAAAACTGCAAGGTGCTAAGGARRTATAATCATGCRAATTYAGTTTGAAGCACTAGTACMRTATAAAGAACAAATRTGACATTTTACAAYAAATCCATGCAGAGCAAGTTATTTTTATGTATTTATCAGCCTGCATGTAAACAATGCTTATTTGTTAAGGTATCTGTATAATACATGTTTGTACTGATTAAATCAGGTTTTGACTGCTTGAAGAAATTTTAAGTAAAGTAATTAAAGTAMTCAGTTGTAGCCAGACCTCAGGTTCTTGATTTCTACAGCATGACTTGTTGGCATGAACCTGATTAAGTTTTTCTGAAATAAGTTCCTATGATTAGAATTTCTGACAGGTGTACATTGAGTCCAGAACATACTTAAAGACAAATTTTATAAGATACTTGAAATTACTTCAACAATTCAGATCCTAAGAAAAGTGAATGGAAGAGGTATCCTGGTAATGATACTGTTTAAGACATTTGAAAGAGGCTTCAACTCTCTTTCAGAAATAATGAGAAAGCCATTAAGAAACAGAGAGACTGATGGTGCTGTTAGTCCTTTGCTGTTCTAAGATTCTATAAAGAGTTCAGATACATTTGTGGTTTGCTGGTGGTGACTTCTCTGTGGTGATAGGACATTTCTRTGAATACCACATGGTGTTGTAAGAACCTGAATCCCAGTTAATACCCAGTTTCACGCAAAGTCGCTGACTTCCTATGAGAAATAATACTTCTGTGAAGTAGTCCTAGATGGCAGAAAGCAGCTGGCAGCTCTTTCTCTCGGTAAAAACTGACTCTTCTTTTTAATTACTCCAAGGCCCGGAAAGCTTTGACAGAGAGACAGAAGGATCTGGAAATGAAAACRCAGCAACTAGAGGTGAAACTCAGCAACAAGACAGAAGAGGAAATCAAGAAGGCAAGACGGAAGTCCACTCAGGCAGGTGAGTWCCTGTGTCCATCAGCACATGGTGAGAACATGGAATGCACCTGCCCATCCATCCATGTGTTTCTTGTTTTTTAATATTGTAGCTACAAAGTCAAAGTGAGCCATGCTACACATCTGTGTGATGTTAAATCCTCAGAAGAAACAAGCCTAGTTTTTCCAACTCAGATGACACAAATTATTGATAACTGAGGTGAGAACAACAAAAGTAYGGTGAACTACCTTTCTGTTTCATGAAAGTGTCCTTAAATTACGGAATGTTTGTGAAACTTACAGATTCAGAGAAGCTTAGCTGAGGATGTTTCTTCCATAAATCATAGTTCCTTCCTTGGTTCTTTCCTAAATTATAGTCACCTGCAACTTTGTGGATGCATATTACACTTACTATTACTRTCTTTTTCCTTGAAAGTGATTTTTTTCTTTTTTCCACTGCTACTYAGTGACTTATTTCTCTTCTAGGAATACTGAGGGTATAGTAGTGTGTGCTGTACTGTACTGAGGRTACAGCTACTGGCTGTGACCTGTGCATATTTTACAGAGGTTCAAGCCCCATCTGCAGGATCCATCGGGAACTTTTTTGAGATCTGCAGAGCTGATACATACAGCTCAGTTAGTACCTTTGCTGAAAAGAAGTTTTAACTAGAGCTTCCATGTTTCATCCCTTCAACAAGGGCTGTTCCTTGGCAGAGTGGTCCTAACAGAGTTCTGAGGTTTTTAAAACTTCGGGATAGCTGTCTGGGTTTTAAGGAGACTGGGAAGAGTCATTGGCAGTGTGATAATGTATACAGGCAATCATTTGAGGAGAAAGAAAAGGAATGAGTTAACAACAGGAAGTTCCATGAGAGAAATTCTTTATTCACCTGAAAGTTCACWGTGTGTCTTTATTCTTTGGGTCCTTAGAAATTGTTTATGATAGATTTTTATTGAACAAGCAAAGAAGAGCTGAAGACCAGAGTTTAGTGTGAGTCTTCCCATTGCTGTCCTCCACTTAGTGCCACCATTCTGGTGTGTGGCAGGCAAGGACTTGTCCCATCCACATAGATGGTGGTGCCCAGCAGCAGCATGTAGTCATCTGGCTTTGAAAGGAGCCCTTCTGCACGTGGGTGATAGGACTAGAGGGCTCTAGTCCTGAGTCCATCTGTGATCTCGTGGATTACTAATATGTGRTGTTCCTTTCTGCTCCTGTGGGCTGTTCATGTGTTTCATGGCTTTGTTGCTCCTGACTGTCCAGTGGCACAGATTCACTCAGGCAGGTGGGAAAATATCAGATAGCTCCTGAGGAGTCTTATGGAGTGTGGGATCCATTAGTTCAGACCTGTCAGAGATCACAGAATAGTTTGGGACAGAAGGTACCTTAAAGGTCATCTCGTTCCAGCCCCCCCACCATGGACAGAGACACCTTTCCCTAGACCTAGYCATGTCAGACTTATCACCCCCCACCTCAGTGGATAAGTTTATTACCAAGGTTTGAGCCCTGAATCCTGGCTTCTTCATAAGAGTTATCACATGAAGTTCTTAGTCCATGAGAAACTTCCAGATATATTTACATTGTTATCAATTGTTCAGTCTATGGAGTCCTGTTCATAAAGCTTGATTCATCCACAGTTTGTGTCTAAAGACTTTTCTGCATGTAAAATAACAAGATGAATTTGAGCCCTGGACTTTGACATCAGTCCATTAGGGAAAGAGAAACAGAACCTCATTTAAAGAACAAAGAGAATTTCCTAGCTGGAAAACAGCAATCTCTGAGAATTGTTTTCCAGATTTGCCACCCATCTTTACCTCTCCATCAGTGCAGAATCCTGCAACAAAGAAAAAAATTAAATKAACTGCAGCTTCTTGTGTTACTGCGCTGAACACAGAAGGCAGGTGGAGCTCAGCTGGAATCAGGCATCTCCAGAGGCTGGAGAATGCATGAGACTGCAAATGAGCATTCCTTCATCCAGCAGCTGGAGCCTGATGCATTACTCCCCTTTGACACAGAGAACCTCTTAGACTGCAGTCTCACCTACAGAGTGCTCTCTTGCAGTTCCATAACTCATTATTATTGATTTCCTATTTTAATTACTTTAGTTTTCAAATATAACCTTCTGTCTATGGCTTTTTTTTTTTTTAACTGAAGTAACTTGCTTTCRTATTTCTGGGCATTTTGTAATATACTACTTAATGCTCATGGTTTTCTTTCAAAATCTTTTTTTTTTCCCTCATTCATTGTCACCCAAATGACTTGCTTTTTGCCATACATCAAGTGCATGCTTTTAGTTTACATGTTGGTACATTTAACAAATGTAACAGAGCTGCTATGAGCTCCACCAGGATTGATCTTCAAATCCTTGGGGTCTGTGTGCAAAACCTGACCTGCACTCTAMAAGCTCAGGCTAGAGAAGACTAATGTGTTGCTGTCTTGACTCTTTCAGGAGATGACCTGATGCGCTGTGTGGATCTTTACAATCAAGCCCAGTCCAAGTGGTTTGAGGAGATGGTGACCACCACTCTGGTATGTAGCTTCTAACATTATACCATTGCAAAATTGTMATAGCCTTACAGTTTTCATAATTCACAGCTAGTTCATGCAAAGTAGTGGGGAAAACTGAGCGATAAATCTCACATTTCATTTCCTGTTTTCAGTCCTAAAAACTTTCCCAATGAGGGGAAAGAGAAATAATTGTTTCTTTGCAGAAGGCATTAAACCGTAAACAGTTCAGGGCTGCTTAGTGGCTGGAACACTTGAATTTGTCCTTAGGAACAAGTAATGCACAAGAGAAGCACATGATAAGTCACCAAATCCATTTATACATTAATGAAGTTTTCTATTTCACAATTTTCTTTGGAGTCTCCCCAGAACTGTGTCTTCTGTGGGCTGAACAGTCCCAGTTGTCTCAGCCTGACTTGCTACAAGCTATCTTGGARCACCTCCATGGCCTCCTGGACTCAGTCCAAAAGCTGCACATCCTTCTTGTGCTGCCAGCCCAGACTTGGATACAGTGCTGCAGGTGGGATCTCASCAGAGCAGAGGGGGAGGATCATCTGCATCTACTATACATGTGCTCTGCATATTTGCCCCCGGAGAAGCACAACTTGCAAGTGCACTGGTAGATGGCTCAAGACGGCAGCCAGAATCTGCAGCTGCACAGCAAGTTTGTCAGTTGTGCAATTCAGGCTGATTARCATTTGCAGGCAAGTCTTGGATACAGAGATTGAAAACAGCCCGTGTGTGATCAGCTCAGACAGAGATTAGTTCATACGGAATTATACCAAGTGGAGAGGGTCAAGGTCAGAAGAGTTTTGCTACCTTGTATACCTTCCTSCCTGAAGTTTCTGGTGCAGATACAGTTCTGCAAATGGCACACTGGGTTTGGCGTTCTGGTCTTTCACATCTATGCCCTAGGAGAGAGAGTTTGAGTAGGCCATTTTTTTCTGTAAGGGCAGTACCTCAGCTGGCAGCAGCAGTAGGAGCTCTGTTTACCTCAGTCCTATGCATTACATAAGCTCCTTTGCTCATATTCCTCCCCAGGCAAATAGTCTGTCACCTGAGATTTTTGTGCTGTAATGAATAATGAAGAATGTTTCCCAAGAGAYGTGTAACATATTACAGATAGCACAGGGAAGGCCATGTAGCAGCCTGCCTGCTTATATAAGCTTTGGTTGCCCTCCACCATGATGCTCAGGAACTGGGCACCAGAAATGCCTTCTGAAGAGAGGTTTCATAAGAATAGGCCCCACTGATGTGTGTGTAAATACCAAACTTTCTATGATACAGCAAAGTCCATTACACTGTACGTCTTTAAAGGCAGACTGTCATAGCACGCTGCTTTGGCTGCTGCTGCTCAGATCATGGACTCATGGAATATGCTGTGTTGGAAGGGACCCATCAGCATCATTGACTCCAACTCCTGGCACTGCAAAGGACACCCYAACAATCCCACCATGGGCCTTAGAGTGTTACCCAAACCCTTCTTAAACTCAGACAGGCTTGGAGCTGTGRCCACWTCCCTAGGGARCCTGTTCTAGTGCATGACCACCTTSTGGRTGAAGAACCTTTTCCTAATATCCAACCTAAACCTCCCCCAACTCAGTCCCAGCCATTCCCTTGAGTTCTGACACTTATCACAGGCTGAGGAATCAGTGCTACCTCTCTGCTGTCCCTCATGAGGATGTTGAAGATTAMAGTGGGCCTTTCCTCAGTCTCCTCTTCGCCAGGCTGAACAAACCAAGTGACCTCAGCTGCCTCCCATAAGGCTTCCCCTCCAGACCTTTACTATCTCTGTGGCCCTGCTTTGGAAACTCTTAACAGCTTAATGTCTTTTTTATATTGTGGTGCCCAAAACTGCACACAGGCATCGAAGTGAGGCCRTACCAGAAGGACTAAATGCAGATTTTTGGGGTATGATATCAGAATCCAGAAGAGGGAAGCAGGAAATGTCAGGAAATCACCTGCCTTTCCAAATAAAGTGTTGCTGGGTTCTTCTTACTGCCAGCTGACCAAGGTAGAAACTTGTCCTAGCTCATCATCTGATGAGCTATACTCTTGACAGGTATCTGGTTGGAATGGGGAGTGGTCTGAGCCTTTCTGCTGCCCAAGGGAATCACTGTAACTTGTGTAGCTAGCAATAAAGCACATAACACTTCTTGCAGGAAACAGATTCCCTCTTGCTTGCAGCATCTCTGAAGGCAGTGACTCCACTCTCTGCCTTGGTTGTCTCAGTTWTGGAACCTCTTGGAAAGGTTTGACCTTTTTTCTGTTACTAGGTTCAGGCTGAGATGACTGCTGTTGCTTGCTGTTTCTTATTCTTTGCAGAGCAGAGGAATGTGCAACCACAGAGTCCAGCTCCAAAGCATGACCCTGGGGCAGTATCGCACCTACTGGCAGCCTATTGTGTATCATCCTTTCTCTGGGCCTCCAAGCTCAGGTTCCAGTAAAAATATGGACTTGTTTTTCTTCATGTCCAGGAGCTTGAGAGACTAGAAGTTGAAAGGGTGGAGATGATTCGGCAGCATCTGTGCCAATACACACAGCTGCGGCATGAGACAGACATGTTCAACCAAAGTGTAAGTGTGCTTTTTGTTTGATCTCTGTGGTCTTCACCTTCCTTCAGCTGAACAGAATAATCCATCCTGACCTGATTTGACTGGCTTATGTCAAAGGACATGGGAGAAGTGTCTGCAGTCAGCTTATAAATCTGTGGGAGTACTATGCTGCTTCCCTCCTGCTCCTCCAGAGCTCTCTCTCTCACCTTTCATACTGCTGGATCACAGCTCTTTGCTGCAGGCCAACAACCAGCTGATGTAGAATTGGCCAACATGAGCTGTTGTTAGCTCTCCCAGCAGACTCCTTGAGGTCTTCTGTTCATGCAAGGAAGATGCTGTTGGCAAAAGKAGTATATATATTTTCCTTATTAAAAACTGGCTATTTATCAAATACTAAAATATGGGAAATGCATGCTGACATCAGTATAGTTGTATCTGGTATGAGATGAGGATTGCAGGGCAGGAGTCAGGCTGACTTGCTGCTGCCTGGCACAGGAAGTCTGTCTCTGCTTCCTGTTAAGTGTCCTTCCTCTCTGCTTACCACTGCAAGGCTGCACATTCAGACCTGTCTATTGTCCATCAAATCTCATGTACATGCAGCTCTCACTTGTCTGCACATGCTGTGTAGGCATGCCCATAGCTGCTCTACATGTCAAGAGCAATGACTCTGCTTGAAGTGTGCCCTTGACATTTCTTTTCTTGCTTTCTTCATTTCAGACAGTAGAACTTGTGGATCAGTTGCTTCGGAAAGTGGATCCTGCCAAAGACAGGGAACTGTGGGTCAAAGAACACAAAACTGGAGATATCCGACCTGTGGACATGGAAATATAGACTGATCTATAGTTGGATGTGATGAGTCCACTGAATTCAGCAGGTTAATGTTTGTTTTTAAGGGTCAAAAGAGCATAGGGAAAAGATGGTTTCACTACCAGACACCTTGTAATTTATGCCTGTATGGGCTATCTCTGTTCCATGTAGTCATTACAATGGTCCTCGTTGTGCTAAGCCTTAAGCACCAGACATTCCAGGATGAAAAAACAATGTGTGCTTCCCACCAGAGAYTCCCAATTGCACGCAGCTTCCAGAAGAAATCTGCTTTCTGGTACAGAAAGTGCTCTGTTCTTCAGTGACTTTGTGCTTCACCCCTTGCATGACTGTCTTTATACAGTATGTTAGAACAACCRTGCAGTGAGCCTCTGGCCAGCAAGTAGATAACTGAATATGATGCAGGAGACAAGGAAGTCCTGATCATGAATTCCASGTCTATCACTGACTGCTTTGATGGCCATAGGCAAGTCAATTAACTTCCCTGGCTCCCTCATCTATAAAATATGCGTATCTTGCAGCAATGTTGTGTGAATACATCAATTTCATATAACACTGTCATTCACCATGGCAGTGAAGTGATGGCCCTTCTCCCAAAATCTATGGAGAAGATTCCTGTTCTTCCTGTTTTATACTCCCTCTCAGGAATACATMAATCCATTTTCATGATTTCTGTTGTAGGCCAACTGATAAGTTTGAAAGTGTTACCATCACAATTTTCATCAGGAAAGACTTGGTTGTACTTTATCTACCTCATTAGCTGTCAGAGTGCCCTCAGTGACAGAGAGGTTATATACCAAGGAGTAAATGAGATGTTAAAAATCTTTCCTGCTCATGCAAGGTTTTTCTTCACATAATCTCCTTAAAGACAGTCCTCTAACAGTTTACTTGGGTTTCAGGTTTAAATTTCCTTTGTTGGTTTCTTTRGGTGAGTATCACAGACTTTAATTATTTTTAATTACCAAGTTTGTGCAGCTGAATTTTGGCTTTTATCTTTTTGGAGCCTGATTTTCAAAGGTGCCATGAATATGCGATGTTAGATTGCATTCAGTGTAGATGTAGGTGCCCAGCACTTCTGTACCATCAGAGTCTTCACCTGAGGTTCTTTTCTATGTTACCCTTACTTCAAACCACCAAAAATTCAACACTTCTCCTAGCAAATAGTATTATGTAGTTTGGAGACTRGTTTTGAAAAGGTATTTATTTTCTTCTGCTGTTATTTCTGATTGATTATTCAGTGTCGCTGTTAATATATTTTTCCAGCATTTCATACAATGCAAAGATTCTTCAGATTCTTGCTTTAAATGCAGAAGAAACCTTGATTCTCACCACTGTGGCCTTTACTTAATGTTTACTGTGGTCTTAGCTACAATTTCCCAAACTGTACTATTTCATTTGATCCACAGTTATGCTCCCATTTTATCACATTGTCTTTTTCCCCCCAGGCCCAGAATTGCATATTTCTTTTGTTCTACTGCTATTCCAGGTTTTTGTTCACCATCTTCAAAGTGCTGTGATTAGGTCAYTGAGAGTCAGTATTCTTCTTTACAAATACAAACTGACACAGARAAGTCTTATCTGAAGCATGTTTAAAACATTGCTGCAGTGGTTATTTTTTTGGTTTATCATTTCAAACTGAATTCTCTTGCATCTTTCTATTGCTCGCTTTTTCTTAACCATCTCTTTACTAGTGCAGGTTCATTCCTGTCTTGCAAATGCCTTCACAACTCACTTCTCTGTGCTTCATTAACCTTTATGGTTAGGATCACTATTCCTGGTGTGACACTTCCTGTGCTGCACTTCCATTGCAGATTTTGGAATTTGGATTACTGTTTTACTCTTGATGTTGGAAGAGCATACTCTGATGTGAACCTCACCTAAGTTCCTGCAGAGACCATTACAACACCAGTTGAAGTGTTTGGTTTGCCCGAGTGTCACTTAGTCCTTGAGCTTAGCTGGAGCCCATATGCCTCCCTGGAATCCTCTTCTTCCCTTCTTCCCTCAAGCACAGAGTTGATGATCTCTCCTTTTCAGTCTCTTTTCCAGTGATTCATTTGCTATCTTACTAATTTTTGGGCATATCAGTGTGTACTTTTCCTAACTCTTACCTTGTACTTCAGAGGACAGGCACTTCTTTGTTTTTTAAACCACAAGTGCAGGTTGAATGTTCAAAATGTCAGTGGCCAAAATAATGCAAATACATGAAAGMTGCATTTCAGGTTGCCCCATGTTCTAGGCTGTATTGTATAATTGAAATGAGCAATCTTGACAATGCCTCAGCACATTCTTGTTTTGATTGCAAAGTGAAGCTAGTCGTGCACTTTATACAATATTCTCCTTAATAAATATCTGAAATAATCTGTTAGCAATTACACTTTATTTTTCCTTTTTCTTTAAAGATGTTTGTTATTTTATCTATTTTGGACAGGAAATACTGTCCATTGGCACAGGTTTCTCTGGGAACTGAATTGTGTTTTGGTTCCTCTGCTAAGGTTTATTTAAGCTGCTCTAAATTCTTAGTTGGGTTTTTTAGGGTTTTTTTTGTTGTATTTGTTTGTTTGGGGTGTTTTGTTTGTTTGGAGGTTGTTTTGGTTTTTTTTTTTACTTTTGGTTTTATTTTCTGACAGTTTTCCTGCTTCTAGTTCTTGGTCCATTTGAAATGTTTTAGGGATGTGAGTTGCCCAGAACAGTAATTCTCTTGATGGAATCTGTGTCTTTTACTCACTTCAGTAACCAGAGGAGAGCACAGGTACCTGGCTGTTGATCTTTCCTAGCCCCAGGAGACTCACACACACTTCTGCTCCACAACAGATGAGATGTTTCATCTATGGCATCACTACCATCTGTATTCAGTGGAAGTGTTAGGAAGTTTTGCTGTTGCTTGTAAACATTTTCCACCTTATTTCTTTCAAAAGATTATATTCCTTCCTGATATGACATGCAGACATGGGATCAGTGTTACCTGGCTCATTCTCTTCTCTGACTGATGGATCGTGGTTAGTGTGATACCTTAAGGGTCAGAGCATGCATCTTCAAAGAGGGTAGTGGAATGTTTAAAGGAAAGCATGGGTTCCTGCTCTCKTGTTCATTCCTAAGAAGGTAACTTTGGGAGTTTCAGCATTGCTCTATTTATCTTGCACTGAGTTTCAAAAATGCAGTGGAGCCCAGTCTGTCTTCATGCTCCTCCTAAGCMGCAGCTTCTCCAGAGCAAGATTAAGGTTGGTGTTATATTAAAATACTGGCATGTRTGAATGCTGCACGATGATGCTGCAGTGTAACTGACTGATAGAATACCAAAATAAGTTTCTTACCTCCATACATACTGAGCTTAAGCATCATCTCTTTTGATCTGGCAGCTCACATGCTTGATGTGAATTTTTGSTTGTTTAGTCACTGTGGGTATCAGACTGGCAGGGTTGTCTTACATCTTCATATKCTCTGAGGTCACAGAGCAGGTGGGTTGTCAATTAGTACTGTTTATTTCACTGGCAGAAGTGGAACTAGTGGGAATTTTCCTTTGGTCCTTCGCAGGTAGCTCTGCTTGCCCAGATCTGTTGAAGCCAGAAGCTCAAAACCTGTGTTTTGGGAGTCCTGCCTCACCTGTGGCACCTGTGGAGCTCCCTCTCTGTTTGAGCCATCATGTCACACATTTGTCCTGTGCTGGATAGCTCTTTGGCAATCTCTGTTTCAAGCCAGAGTCTTTTGTCTTAGCAGAAGGGCTTCCTGATTTCCTGTGGTTTCAGATGTGTTGAGTGTCAGCTTGCCAACTGTACCCTCAGCTGCCATACAGAATGAAAACTTTTTATTCATTAGCCATACCTTCCTGCTTATGTCTTCAGACTCATCTTCTGGCACAGCTGAAATTCTTCCTCTAAGGTATTCTTTCAGCTTATTTCCTAGTAGAACTCATTCTGGGTCCAGTGCTGTTGGCTGATTTCTGTTGGAGTTTATGAGCTGAAAGCAGTGAGTCCTTCACCACATGGACCAAATGCACTCTTCTCCCATTAGCAGCAAGATTCCAGTTTCTTTCTTGGAGCAATATCCAAAAAAGCCTAATTCTCAGATTTCCAACCTGATCCAGATTCAATCATCTCTGTAGCTCACTCTTGTTCATCACTTCTATGGGTTGGATATCTTTTGAAAGACTTTGGTTGCTCCTTTACAGGGACATTAGTTCATTATTGGACACTGGAATTTTAGAAGATAGCTTTAATTTTTTTTTAACTCTAAAATACTGTAACAGCAGTGAAAATCATACAGAAATGTGTTACATTTCTAGACTCCTCTCCCCTTCTTAGCCCTTTCTGAGCCCCTGGGATGCAGTTGTGCTTCCCCATATGTTGCACAGGTATGGTGAACACTGAAATCGCACTTCCTTGAGTGCCTAACAGGCAGCATGCAAACTTACGCACTGCTTCTTTTTCCCTTTATGCAGCTTTATTTTTTTCACTTGGTTTTTTTTTTTTTTCCCTCACAGGAATTTTCTGTCAGGCACTCACAGGTAACTTTTATATGTTAGTAGCAGTCATAGTTTTTCAGGCTTTGTCAGAACGTCCTTTAAATTGCCCCTGTTTTTAATGCCATTATTTAAGTATTTGCTGCAAGTTAGGCTTGTTGTGTACAAACGTGTATTCTTCATCTGTTCTTTGGAAGTGCTCAACACTCAGAGATTTCTTGAAATACAACAGGGAGCCAAAAGGTAAGAGTCTTTGAAAATCAGGCTAACAAATAGAGATGCACAAGCCTCTTTTTTTCTTTCTTGGACTCAAGTGCATGGATAAAATAAATATTAAGAAACACGAAATACTTAATATGTAAGATCTRTGCAGCTCCCAGCATCTCCAGTAGTGTTCTTGTGTCGAGCCACAGCCAGAACACACCTCTAGAGTATGGACCCACAGGTCACCTACTGGTGCAGCTGTAAAAACTTATATCCATAATTCAGTGACAAAGCAGCTCTGCCCRTCTGTTTCTTCAGTCACACATAGGGAGAGAAAGGGCACTGCTTACCCAGGTGGGTCCTTCACTACCCAGCACCTTAAGAAATCCAAACAAGCACTTTGAAGGTCCCCCTGGAATGAGTAGATGTGACTTCTTGATGTGATTATTTGATTGTTTCTTTCTGAACTGAAAAGATATTTGCTATTTCATAGTATCTCATGTGCTCTTGTCCACTACTGCAGCCTGCTCTGTCTGTTCCCAGAGATGGCAGGCAGAGTCTGCCTAGTGTCCTGAGGGCAGTCCTGGTCACCCTGACATTTCTCTCATTTGGCAAGAACTGCATCTTCAAAAGGCAGTGTCAAAATAGCAGTTTTCAAAATAATGAGCTTTTCRGTTCACAGACCTTTCTGAAAAGCCTGTAAGTATTTTCCTACCCACTATGTGTTGAAGTGGGAGAGTGACGTCGCAGAAATTGCTGAAGCATGGGCTCTGAGGATTCTTGCTGTGTGCACATTCCTTCCATCCTTGCACAGGGATGGGGAATGGGCAGTAGGTGTCCTGTGTGCACCAGAGGTGTCTGACAAGGCACCACAGGAGCCTACTGGTCACATTTATCTTAATCAGGTGGGCAAGAGTCACAGATAAATTCACATTAAAAACAGACACGTAGGGCAGGGAGATAGTTTCCTCAGTCGCATCTCTCTCAGACCCTTATGGGTCTAATAAGAGGCCCATCATTCTCCCAATTCTGCTGAGCAGTTGAAAATCAGTGATGAAATGTTCCCTTGCTTGGTGCAGAGCTCTCCCACTCACTGGGTTGCACCCATGGGAGAGGGGAAGGTGCCAGTGCTCCCCTGAGGGCTGGAGAACAGAACACAGTGTGGCATTGACAGCGCAGAGACMCCGCACTGCCCAAACACCAGCTCAGTGTGCTGACTGCTGTGCTTCAAGAGCTTGGAGCACACAGCCTGCCTGTCACACAATGGGAATGAAGTCTTTCCTGGCAGCAAATCCTTGTCTTTTCCTGAAAAACATTATTATATGTATAATAACCATTATTTTGTCTTCCATTCGATTTTATTCAYATGAATGGTGCATCTTTCACTTTTACTTTTCCCTTTCCATTGTTACTGTAGCCAGCCCTTCATCAATGAAATCCACCACTGTTCAGGACCTTTCCTTTAATTTTGAAATTTCATAGAACATATCTGTTATTTCAATGTGCTGACCAAACTTCATGCTTTTTGGGTGTTTTTTGAGAGCTTTAAGAGCTTTTTTGAGAGGTTATTTTGGTTTTTATTTTGGATTTTTCTTATCAGCTACCAGGTTTGGAAGTGTAATAACTTCTTTTTGTGCTAGCCACAGTTTCTTTTTTCTTCCTGGACATTTTTACTGAAGGGACCAACATAGCACAATTCAGCTTAAATTTCTAATCCCATGCATTCCTCAAGGCAGAAACCTTTTGTGCCTACTGATGCATCTGAATCTAAGAATTGTACGTGGATAAAATCTTTCATAGACCAATAAAAAAATAAGATTAATCATATAATAATTACAGAAAAAAATGTATAGATTTGAAACATTCAAATTTAATTCCCTCAACTTACATTAAGTTGACCTATTTCAGGTGTGTCATAAGAGACAAACTCAGTGGATATTCAGAAAAAAAGCTTTCTAGCTGCTCCATCCAGGTTCAGTGAGTGGACAGGACTATAATTTTGAATATATGCAGTCTTTTAGGGCTACTGATTTAACAAGTAATTGAGTAATGGCTTGTATTACAACCCTATTAAAATTCTAGATTTTTTTTAAAAAGCTAGTAGATCTCCTTGAAGTGCCTCTTTAAATAGTATCTGCTACAAACATGTAAAATACACAGATTAACCCTAAAAATTACCAAATCTCAAGAGCAGCCATTGTGCACAGATCTGTGCAGGATTCTCAGCCCCCTTCCTTGCTCTGAACTGTGCACACTTTTAGGACATCCACATCTCCAGGAGACCTGCCTTTGTTTCTGGTAATTTACTATCCAGCTCAGGCRTCCTAAGTTCTCAATGCCAAAAACTGAATAAAAAAAAATTAGACTTAAAAGCAACTGCATTGAAGCTAATCTTTGGATCCATCCTTCAATGTATGAGTCTTAGTAGAATAAGCAGGGAAATCTGCATAAAAATAGTACTCAGTGATAATTGTGCATAAAAGAGTTGTTACACTTTATTGCATAAAATTAATAATAATAAGAAGAAAAACACACAAGTATTTTTTTACAGCAGTTGCTGAGAAAAATTGGAACTCAAAAGCTGAATGTGATTTCAGGGATCTCTCATCTGCTATCATAATAATCTTAGTCGTTAATCCCAGAATTTGGGAATGGTTGACCTGAAATCCCTTGTTCCTTTGGAGTTTTTTTATGAAATGGCTGAGATTATCAGAATAGCCTAAAGAATTTGGGTGTCCACACTCTTTTAGGTCAAAAACACTCTTTAGGAACAGCAGCCTCTATCCATTATGAAAACAGCAGGTACTTCTCCTTAGATGATTTTCTTGTGTGAGCATTCCACGGGGCAGTTCTGCAAACACTGTAGCAGGAGAGATTCCCAGGCAGGCCAGATTACCATACACTAAAACAGTGTTTTTTACCAAAATAAAGTTGATTATTTGGTCCTTTTTATGTAMGTTTTCCTAAATACTTCTAAATTTCTAGGAAAGTTGTCTTTTGCCAGTACTAATGACTTGTTTTTMAAGATGCTTAACCAAAATTTTATAGCTTCCCATAAATTTTGGCTGACTAGACTCCTTAGTTTATTTCTCATACAGCCTCAGTCTGGGTTACTAGTAAATCTTGGATCATTGTGGGAGTTATAGGATGCCTTTTGTTCCCTGAGGATAGATGAAGGAATCACTTACTGAACTTAAGTTGAATGAAGAAAAGATTTAAGGGGCAGATCTTCAGCTTGGGTCAACTGGCCGGGTTCAGTGGAAGCTACTTGATGTCAGCTGTGGATCTTGTCCTTCAGTGTTGAAGGCATTTCCTATATGTAATTTTTCTGTGTTACTGTAAAACAATTTCATATGGTTAAACTGTATTTTCCTATATTGTTCTGCAAGTTTATATACACCATAGTGCTCATCTCATCTCCTGTAAAATAAACTGTACAGAGACAATGAGCATGGAATTGTCTTTACCCAGTTGCTTTTACTTCTCCCACAATCTCCACACCTTGTGAGTGCAGTGTCTTGGTCAGACACTCTGTGGAGTGCCACTTGATATGATCTTACTGCAGCTTGAATTTGCAATCACATCACTGGGATGTAGTCTACTTGTACTTACCCTTTTCAGATCTTCACATGATATTCAAACACATATGGTTCCTCCCTTTTTTTTTTTTCTTTCAGAAATCAATTTAAAAACAGCCTGTGGTTAAGCAGTTCTTTAACAAGCCATCAAGCTGACCATAAGCATCCTGAGAGCAGCTGCCWTGGGATGGRTGTGTTTTCATGTTTTGAGTGATCTGGAGCTCTTCCCCACCCAATGAGTCCTTTACCTTCAAGCTTCACATGCAGCTYGAAGCTCAGTTGAAAACACTGCTATAAAATGTTGTTAATAAWTTTTTCTCCTTTCAATATTTTTTATCTGAAAATTAAGCTAAAAGTTCTCCTGAACAAAGGGTCAAATATTGTAGGTTCTTATTTGTAAAATACAGAAGATGGTGCTATGTCATGCATTTTTTTTTAAGCAACTTGCCACTTAAACCCTGGGACTATGTGTCCAGTGTGCTTTTGCTCCCCTGTACTTGAAAGCCCTTTCTTTACCTCAAGGTGCATTTTTTTTGGAGTGCAAGTGCAAACTTTCACAGCAGGTATCAGAGAGCCTCCCTCTTCTTTAAGAGGGCTCCAGACTGAGAGTGTACAGCCTTCAGAGAACTGAGCTGTGGCAGTTGAAAATGGTGAGGTGTGTTAGCAGGGCTGATGATGKAGCCCACAGCAGAGATCATCCTCTCTGCCACATCACTGAAAGTTGTCTGCTTTTTCAAATCTGGCTTTGTCACCACAATTGACTCATCCTTGTGCACTGATAGTTTTCAGTGCCTCAATGTCCCCCAATTCAGAACAGGGCCAGGAAAGAGGAGGTGACAGGYCATGTCCTGTGTTGTGCCATGTGACGTATTTATAACAGTTTTATTTTCTTCACATATGGCCTTGACTCATGGTCATCACAGGACCACACCAGATTTTAGCCATTTTACTTATTTCAAGCACTACTGCTTAAACCTGTTTTGAAACTTGATGAGATTTCAGGGAAAAGCCTTGCACTTACAGTATTTTTCTAGGGCAAAGCACTGGCAGGGCAGAACATGAGGCCTTTCTCAAAGAGTAGGGCATAACCTGCRGTTAGAAAGAAGTGATGCTGAACCTTTGTACTGTGAGAGGCTATGATTTTGGAAGTACCAAGACACACAGCATGTGTGCCAGATGGATGTCAGGGTGTCAAGATTGGAAAGTGGCCCTCTAA